GCCGGTTGAGCTATAGGCGCCGAGCCCCCACCAGGTGTTTTTGCCGTCATTGCCTGTCCTGCTTAGCAGCCGACTCGTGCCAGGGCCCATAGTCTGGCCCTCCAACGGTCTGAGGGACAGTGAACTGGCCCTCTATTTAAAAAGTTTGAGGACCCCTGCTGAGAGATGGTGGCCTCAGGAGGCTGTATTGGGATTTAGGGTTCCAGCCTGCACCCAGAGGCAGGTAGCCATTGCTGCAGGTTGTGGAGCTGGTGGAGAGTGATGTGTAGCTGCCAGCTGCAGGCTGGTGTGGGCTCCTTATCACTGCTGAGGACTCAAACCCTCAGTGTGTGGTTCTTGTTTTTTTTTTCTTTTCTATTAAATTATCACTGTGTACATGAGGTAAAATGTGCTGGTTTTATATACAATTTGAAATATTTTCATCAAACTGGTTAACATAGCCTTCATGACATTTTCTTAGTTATTGTGTTAAGACATTTATATTCTACATTTAGTAAGTTTCACATGTACCCTTGTAAGATGTACTGTAGGTGTGCTCCCACCAATTACCCTCCCTCCACCCATCCTCTCCTCTCCACTCCCCTCCTTTTCCCCTTCCCCCATATTCTTGGGCTATAACCCTGTATGGTTCTTTGCCCTGCATTGTCTCCAGGAACTCAGTAGGGCACCCTTCCACATTGGCATCCTCAGGGCCTTCCAAGGAGGTAGCTGTGCTGGGCTGCAGGGCCAGAGATGGGCCCTCGCAAAGAGAGTTTTTGTCACAGCAGCTGCTTCTGGGGGCGCCCAGCAGTCCACCTGGCAGCCTGCCCACCTGAGGAAGCAGTTTGCTTGCCTTCCTCTCTCCCTGGCCAGCTGCAGCAGCTCTGGCCTGAGTTCCCAGTTGCCTATTGATCCTTGGTTCTCACTGCTGTACTGCACCCAAAGTGTTACATTTATAGGTGTGAGCCACTAAACCCAGCTAAAGTTTTCTTTTTTTCTTTATTTTGGAGAAAGAGTCTCTTGGCGCCCTTGACAGAGTGCTGTGGTGTCGCAGCTCACAGCAACCTCAAACTCTTGGGCTTAGCGATTCTCTTCATTCATCCCCCAAGTAGCTAGGACTACAGGCGCCTGCCACAATGCCCAGCTATTTTTTTGTTGTAGTTGTCTTTGTTTGGCAGGCTAGGCTGAGTTCAAACCCACCACCTCTGGCACCCTAGCTGCTGAGCTACAGGTGCCGAGTCTAATTTGATGATTTTTTTTATTAAGATTATGGCGTTTTGGGTGACGCCTGTGGCTCAGTGAGTAGGATGATGGCCCCATATACCGAGGGTGTCGGGTTCAAACCCGGCCCCGGCCAAACTGCAGCAAAAAAATAGCCGGGCGTTGTGGTAGGTGCCTCTAGTTCCAGCTACTTGAGAGGCTGAGACAAGAAGTGAATTGCCTAGGCCCAGGAGTTGGAGGTTGCTGTGAGCTGTGATGCCATGGCACTCTACCAAGGGCAGGCGTCCTCAAACTACGCCCTGTGGGCCACATGCAGCCCACCTAGGACATTCATCCGGCCTGCCAGGTGTTTTTGCCGCTGCTGCCTGTCCTGCTTAGCAGCCAACTCATCCCAGGGCTCACATTCCGGTCCTCCAACGGTGACCAAGGGCAATAAAGTGAGACTCTGTCTCTTAAAGAAAAAAAAAGATTATGGAGTTGTACACAACACTGTGTAATGTGTATGTGGCTGGCACCTTAGCTGCTTGAGCCACAGGCGCTGAGCCTAATGTATGGTCTTTGCTGCTTTCTTGCAACTACAGAGTTGAGTAGTTGTGATAGAAAATACATGGCCCAGGCTTGGCGCCTGGCTCAAGTGGCTAAGGTGCCAGCCACATACACCTAAGGTGGTGGGTTCGAATCCAGCCCAGGCCCGCCAAACAACAATGATGACTGCAACCAAAAAAAATAGCCGGGCCTTGTGGCAGGCACCTGTAGTCCCAGCTACTTGGGAGGCTGAGGCAGGAGAATCGCTTGAGCCTAGGAATTGAAGGTTGCTGTGAGCTGTGATGCCACAGCACTCTACCCAGGGGAACAGCTTGAGGTTCTGTCTCAAAAAAAAAGAAAATACATGGCCCTGGGTGGCGCCTATGGCTCAGTGAGTAGGGCACTGGCCTTACTCGTATACCGAGGGTGGCAGGTTCAAACCTGGCCCTGGCCAAATTGCAACAAAAATATATCCAGGTGTTATGGCAGGCGCCTGTAGTCCCAGCTACTTGGGAGGCTGAGGCAAGAGAATCGCCTAAGCCCAGGACTTAGAGGTTGCTGTGAGCTGTGACACAATGGCACTCTACCAAGGGCAATAAAGTAAGACTGTCTCTTAAAAAAAAAAGAAAGAAAGAAAGAAAATACGTGGTCCTGAAATCCTGAAGTATTTACTACCTTACCCTTTACAGGAAATTTTTGCCCTCATCTGCCCTATAGACCACCCTTTTCTGGACATTTTACATAATGTGTATCTTTCAAATCTGGCTTCTTTCACTTCTTAGCATAATGTTTTAGAGATCCATGCATGTTGTAGCATGTGTAAGTACTTTGTTTTCTCATCTAATCTCAAAGCTTTTTGAAGCAAATTTTAAAATAACCCATTTTTCAATTAAGAAAACTGAGGCTTGGAACATACCTGTTGTTCACATTGCTGCTGGTAGAGCCAGAATCAGAACCTAGGTCTATTTGATCCTACATATGTTTGGTTTGGATTTTTTTTTTTTTTTAATAGAGACAAGGTCTTGCTATGTTGCCTAGGTTGGTCTTGAACTTCTGGCTTCAAGTGATTCTCCTGTCTTAACCTCCCAGAGGCTAATCCTCCTAGGATTACGGGTGTGAGCCACTATGCCAAGTCCTTTTTGATGCTTTTTACTCATGGGGGAGCCAGCCCAGGTTGTTTGCAAGGTGATGAACCCCCTGTTACTAGAGCTTTCCAAACAGAAACTGGACCAGGTTCCTTTGGGCAGGCTGTAGTCTCATTGTGGCGATAGCTGCCCTGGAGGTACCGGGTGCCGTTTTGCCCTGGCGGTGCTGGTGGTAGGAGAGGGTGCCTTGCCTTTGGGGGTCCCTTTGGCCCCTTAGCTGAGGATCACTTCTGCCTTCCAGCCTAGCACCAGGGGAACAGACCCATGGGAAATATCTGGGATGTGTTTCTGGGGTGCAACTGAGGGCCTGGTCTGCTGGGGAAAGGCAGTGTCATGTCATCCTGAGGAGTGCAGGTTCTAGAGCCAGGCTGCCTGGGCCTGACGCTCAGCTTTGCCTCTTCTTTGCTGTGTGCTTCTGGGCAAGTTGCTTACCCTCTCTGAATTTGGTGTCTTCATCCCCCAGTTGGAGATGCTGCGGCAGTACCACCCAGTGGGTCCATATGGGGATTCGGTGAGGTCCCTGCATGCCTAGCACTCAGCACTGCATCAGTATTGTGTGCTGAGTGCTCAGATGACTCAGTTGTGTGACCACATCTTATCCCCCAGGGACCCCAGGCTGCTTGAGCTGGTGGCTATACTTGGCTAAGACCTGCCCTGCCCAGCAAGGATCCCCCAGGGTGAGGGTGGCAGGGGGTCTATGGCTTTAGACCTAGGATTGTGGCCTTGCCAAGGAGAGTCCAGGCTGGGGCTATCCCAAGGATGCCTGTCCATATCTGCCCCATCTCTTCCCTTTTTCTTTCTGCTGGAAGGAGAGTGGTCCTCCTCAGCCCTATTGGGGGCAGATAGCAAGGGGTGGTGGCTGTGCTTCTGGCTCTGGTGACGCAGGCCTGCAACTCTGGTCTCACCCTATTCACCCTGCTGCCTTCCACACCTTGTCTCTACCCCTTCCCCCCGCCCCCACCAAGACCAGCAGCCTCTTTTTGCCTCTGGGCTCTAGTCATTCTGCCTCACCCCCACCCCCCACCCCCTGAGCTGAGCCTCTTGGGTACCTTAGTTGCAGAGAACTAAACCCAACTCCAGCTTGCTTAGGCCAAAAATGGATTTACCGGGCAGCTCTTGGGGACCTTCCACAATGGAAGCAGCAGCTGGATGTGTCACTTTAGGAGGGGCTGGGCAGCTTCGTTCATATAGGTGCCTTGTAATCCAAGGGGCTTCCTGCCCATTTCCTATCTACCTCCTGATGCCAGAGCACTTGGTGTCTTGGGTCAGCAGGTCTCCTGGGGATGTGTATCAGGCATGGGTCTGTGGGGTGTGTCCTCATTGTGTCCAGAAGTGCCTTCCTTTGGAGTGGGCAGAAGGTATCACTTCAGAAGCCCTTGGCCTGGGGAGGATCATGCTGGGTTGGAAGCAGAATGTCCCGGTGGGTTCAGCCATCCCTCTCCCACAGACCTGGTCACCGACTTGGACTTCTCTCCCTTTGATGACTTCCTCCTGGCCACGGGCTCAGCTGACAAGACGGTGAGTGGAGTCAGGTAGAAGAGCTATTCAATGTCTCCTCCAGGCTGGGGCTCCTGTCCCACTCTCATATTCTCCCACCCTCTGACCATACCATGCAGTCCCTGAGTTCGCTTTCCTTCCCTCCTTCCCCCAGTGTGGGGTATGCAGCTTCCAGCCCCAGCAGCAAAGGCAGGTGAATTGTCCTTGACAGGTGGAGGGTGTCTGGTGGGAGCAGCTTTCTGAGGTCAGGGGCAGCACTACTGGGCAAGGCTCCCTGGAGGAGGCAAGGCCTCCACCCTGGCTCACAGATGTCAACTTTCTTGTAGGTAAAACTCTGGAGACTACCAGCCCCAGGCCAGGCCCTGCCCTCAGTGCCTGGAGTGGTGCTGGAGGAGGACCTCCCAGTGGCCGCATTGCAGTTCCACCCTACCTCAGATGGTATTCTGGTGAGCGCAGCAGGCACAGTGGCGAAGGTCTGGGATGCGTCCAAGCAGCAGCCCCTGGCAGGTAGAGGCCACCTTGCCCTGCCCTCCAAGGCAGCCCTGTCCCAACACACTTCATTTCTTTGTTGACATTCCCTTCTACTCCATGTAGGCATCTATTTTCAGCCATTTTAGCTAGGCTTTTTGTTGTTTTGTTTT